CGGTTAACAAGTTGGTTCGTGGAAATTTTATTCTGCTTGGTTTAGAAAATAGAGCAAACATTCATGATACAACAGAGCAAAACACATCACACATATAAAAGATCGAATATTAATGAACTTATTATATAAATTACTGATTGACGATCTCATCCAACGATATCCACCGTGAACATAACAGAGATCACATTAACCATTAACCAAGACAGAGAGCTTGGCAGAGGAGCTTTCACGCTTTCACTAAGGGACAGAGTATGCCGTCCTTTCGTACCTTCTTCTTGATAGGACAGGTTTAGAGACAAATAGTTAGCAGAAGTAACAGTCCTTCAGTGAAAGAGGAAGCATAAATAAACCAAGAAGGCCAAAAGTTAACAACCATCGAGCACTTGCTCGAAATCGACATGCAGAGCAAAGCGACCATCACAAGCGTAAAGGAGACTCTCTCTCCTCTCTGCGTCCAGACTTGAACTAATGCCGCCGCAAGAGCAAAGGCAAACGCTGAGTTACTAAACACCCAAAAACTCTTTATAGTTACTTGTCTGACTCGAAATTCCGCTATTGTCATCATCTCCGGTTTTGGACATGATGCGTTGAGAGCAGTTGGTGGGATGATAATTGGCCTGAGAGTGTTGAACATGATGTTGAAAGCTATCATCATAATAAGAAGTGGTCGAGGACGGTGACGAACACCATCCATTTCGGACTTATTTAGGGAAAAATTTCAAGGGACTAAGGAATGGAAATTCTAAGAAGAAAATTCAAGGATTTGTAGTATGTTAAGAGGAATGGGGTTTATGAGTTTATCTAACCATGATTGACTTTGGCGTAATAGTTTCCTAACATAGTAATATGTTTCTACATTGTCAGAGTTTATACAAGTTATATGTTGGATATTAAAGAGGGTGTTTCTAGATGAGCTCCATTTGCTTTATTTAATAACGTGTAGGATTGGTTTATTGAAGTTCTGGTTACATATTTAGTTTACTTCTGATTTTTTATCCCATATTCCCCAAATAAAAAGAAACAAAATAAATTGGGACGTCTAGTTGCCTCTAGGCGACCGCTTCGTATCCGAAAATATTAGTTAGATCGTTGCAATTTTAGGGTAGTCAATAAATAAATGTGTCTACTCTCATTAAACGGTCCATTAGTTGGGCTAACCGGATTAGTTTATACTTCAAGAAAACTATAGTTATATAGTTTGGACTTTGGTGCTAAAAACACTTCCTGAAAATGTTTGGTTTTATAAATTTTTAGTATGGACGTTTGTTTTTGAGGAGAGATTTCGAAACCATAATTTAAAAATTTTTGAGGATAAAATATACGAATAATAAAAGTTGGAATTCTTCCTAAGAAAAAAAAAAAGCTAACAACACAAAGGAAAGGAAATGCTAGCTAGGAAAGGGAAACGATATTAATTAAAGTAAATATATTTAAAAAATATTGTTGAAGGTCGTTCGAGCTTTTCCTGGGAGTATAGCATGGGTTACTTTAGCGCCGTAGCGCCTGGTACTCGAACATTGGGTCGGGGCATTTTCTCTACCCCTTCTTACCCTGATAAAACAGGGACACCTTGCGTCCTTGAACCGATAACCATCTTTCGGCGTTCATGATCATGGGATCCTTTTCTATCAGATAGGAAGGGCTGTTGCACAAAATGTACTTATAAGTCACAAATTGCAATTAGTATGTATGATCCTTAATACAATCTAGCGCCTCTATATAAAAAGACAAAAAAGAAGAGAAACCCTAAACCTAATTAAGTAGAGACTAGATTGATTCACTCTTTTTCTTTCTCTTTGATAGCAATGGAAGCGGAAATATCATTTCGCAGCGAAATCGACCTCAAACCTAAATCAAAAGATGCTGGATCATTCAAAATCTGCGTAAGTGCCCTAAGGTCGGACACATCAATTAGTCTTATACCAAATTTCGTTCTCTCGTACGAAGGCGTCATATCCTCCTACCCTAATGACTTGAAAAAACTGACTGATTGGTTGTACTTAGCAGGGATCTCCGACCAATCTGTTGACATTGCTAACTCTCAACTCACTGAACGAATCTGTAAGTCGATTATTAATTATGGTAGACTCTCCAGTTTGTGCTACGTTAGTGTACATGTACTGTAAAGTCATTGTTCCCTCTCCTCCTTGGATTGACTCGTTCGATGAGACCACCAATAATATCCGGTTAATTAGACCGGCAAGTAAGCTTGCGGTTGGTCGTTTGGCAAGGAAAATATATAAGAACAATAAGAAGAAGACGTCCAAGTTTGACGCCAGCATGTGCACAATTTGTTTGGATGGGTTTGAAAAAGGAGAAATAGTCGTGACCTTACCATGTGGCCACGAGTTTGACGACGGATGTATTGTGAAGTGGTTTTTGAAAGATCATGTTTGTCCATTGTACCGTTTCGAGTTGCCTTGTTAAGAGATGAGCTAATACTTGGGGGACAAGTTAAACGGTTAATGGGAGCTTAGAATTTTAAGGGCTATTTAGAGGTAGTGTTTTCAGTTAAAGCTAATCACATCGAGACTTTGTTTTTGATAACTTGAGACTCGCATAACAAGCTTGCATTTACGCCGTTCAGTTTCTTTAGCTTGATGATTTATCCTAAAGTCTAGAAACTAAATTTAATTTCTGCATCTCTTCTTTTTCTTTAAACAAAGTTAGCTACCAGGTCAATGTTATGATACGTAAATGAGATCCTCCTGATATAATATTTTCGTGTCTAATAAAAAAAAAAAAAAAAATTGGTACCGTAGAAAAATCAATGTTGAATAGTAAGTCTATAACGACCAAAGTATTCTTATAAGAAAACATAGCCTAAGATGGTATATAAAAGATGACATTTAGTTAATCTCTTTGTTCCTTTGGATCTTTCCATTGTTTTTGCGATAAATGTACGACACCTAAATCAAGCATTTATGTTTATATTGAATTGAATATATCAAACGGTTTTCAACAATCAATCATATGTACAAACCAAAGAAACCAGGAAAAAAAAAAACAACAAGAAACGAGAGTTTGTGATCACAATCAAAACGGCGTCGTTCGCAAAGAAAACAGAGGATAGAGGATCCGATTTACCGGAGGAACAAGATAAAACATAACAAGCAAGACTGTGAAATGAGAGTGACAATCAGAAACTTGCCGGCGATTACTTGAGCTCTCTGTATCCTCTCCAAAGAATCGGGAAGATCCAACTGCACCAAACCAATACTCGTCATTGCCATCAGAGCAAACCCATACGCTATTTTGCCGACATGAGTTAATACCAAACCGAGAACCGCCACGTATCTAGCCACCGACGTCGTATTTGTTTCCGGATTCAGATCTGAGAGGTAAGAACTCCTGCGAATCATGAGAGAAGTGATGAGAGAGACCAAGATTGTCGCTTCGATAAGTCGACCGTTTTGATTTGTTCGACGACGACTATCTTGATCTCGTGCTTGAGCTTGATGAACAACACCATCCATTTTTCTTTTTCAAGAATCTTGATTCAAAATCTTGGAGGAAGAAGAATGAAGATTGAAGTGAGTTTATAAGATAGAAACAGAGTTAAGTCGAGAGCAAAGGAGAAAGATTCGTCGACGGATTTATACTGTGGGGTTTAAGCTAATCTAACCATGGTTAATAGTTAACCGTGGACCGTGGTTTAGAATAACGGTTTTTTAACGGATTAAGTCTGTTAGACGAAGCCTGTTGCTCTGCTTTTGGAAAATAACGGTTTGGTTAACACATTTCGTTTAGTTGCTGATTTCCGGTTTTATCAAACCGGTTTGTACCAGGCTATAGTAAAACTGTGACGTCAGTAATATTCCCATGCCTTTACTAAACGAAGCTTGAAATAGTTGCTTCATCTAGCGACACGTGGAATGATTAATATATCGGACGGCTTATAAACTAAGTTAAGTAAGCTAAAATATTTGAGACTTTTTTTGGTACTTGCTTTCATTTTACGCTCTTGATTTTCGTATGAGTCATCACCACCATAAGAGACTTAACTCTAAGTCTTCAATGATTGATACATAAAGCTTTTAAAGCTAGAGTCATAATCATAAACCTTAAAACGTCAACAATAACCGGAACTTACTTGACTAGAATGCAACATAATGTGCCAGCTAGTATCCCACTCTTCCCATACGGTGACTCTTTT